AATTAATATATATATATATATATATATATATATATATATATATATATCATCATCATCATCAACATCTGAGCCTTATCCCAACTATTCAGAGATGGCTACATGAATCTTGTTCTGCCATTCTGCTCTATCAAGGGTCCTATCCCTCGGTTGGACCATAAGGCACCGTATATCTTCTCACTACTTCCATCCATGTCCTTTTAGGTCTTTCCCTTGCCCTTCAGAGCCTTGCATTTGAACTGAATCACCCCTCCTAACCTGTGATGTTCTAGGTCGATGCAGCATATGACCATCCACCTAAGTCTACTTTCCCTCCTCTTATCACCTATTGGAGCTACACTTAAGTTCCTCTGATGTATTCATTCTGAATCAATGTTCCATAAATTGTTGGTCGGCACCTAGGTAGTTGGTGGGGTCCTGGCCACCCAGTGCCTAGGTGGCCGCTTAGAACTTGGGCGGCCCAGTTAGAACAGGGAGCAGAGGTGTCTGATCCAACTGTTTTAGGCTCAGTTTCTATGTAAAAACTAAAAAATGCATATTGAAGCATATAACACATTAAGAATACATAACATATAATCCATAATACATACTCCATAGCATATTCCATACACAATAAAATAGGAAAGTATAATCCAATATTCAAAATTTTCAAATTCGGCCATCAACTCATCATCAGGAAAAGGAACGAAATAAAACATGGTCCATAGTTCACAACTCCATGTACACTCCAAGACTCCATACTCCATAGTACATACATTTTACATACAAATAAGAGGAGAAAACAGAAACAGAAAGAAATATAGACTTGAAGACTTAAAGAGTCTCAGTCATCATAAGAAAAAGTAGGGTCAGCGGCTTCATATGCATCGGAGTCGAGCCCATCATTATCAGAATCATCAGACGATCTAGTGGCCCTAGGGTCGGTTACTGTCCTTAAGGCCTCCATGACCATATCCCATGTCAATCCTTCATGCCCCTTAACCTCAACATCATCATCATCAACCAACCACTCCAGGGCATTGTCCATGTGTTTGGTTTTGAGGTGTTCTCTCTAATCTCTCTTAGCAAATATCTCCTTCGAGTATCGATTGTACTTCATATAAACTAGATCATTTAGCCTCTTTGATTCAAGCTTGTTTCTTTTATTTGTATGAATCAATATGAAAAATGATAAACACATATAATAACATCAAATGAAACTAATTAATATTACAATTAACACAATAATCAATAATTACTAATGCAAATTAGTAAACTACAAACTAATATAATAAATTACCATCTCAAAAGTACTCCAATTCCGCTCACAGCTGAACGAGGTAGTGATTAGGCTCAAGATCCAAATGGCCAACTATTGTAAGTTTGGAGCACTACACCCATGCTGGCTCCACCAATTGGCTGCGAATATTTATGAATTACGATTATATATGTAATATAAAAAATAATTAAACAAGACTTGAACTTGAAGACTGCCTTAAGTATATTATTACCAGAATCACTTTTGTTCCTTTGTCTTGTCGCTATTGCACTCCCAAAAGACATCAATGCGCACTTGTACCTTATTAATTCATCAGCGCATATAATATCTTAGATATCCTGATTAGGGATTAGGACATACAGACACATTAAATTCAGTCATAATTGGATCATTTTTCTGTATATCCCTATCAACATAATAAAAAGCCGAGCTGCATGAAATGGTCGATGTAGCTGCCTATCTCACTTCTCATCAATAATCTTTCAAACTACTTCATAGCAGCTCACATCATTATCCAAATTATGGGCTTCGTTTGGAGCTTTCAATTTCCACATACATGAAGCCCATGGAGGGCTTATCACTGTCAACCATGTGAAGGACTTTGACAAGAGGAAAAAATAATACCTTAAAAGCACCCTTTAGCCCTCATCAAAAAGCCTTAGATAAGACAATATCTCTCACCTTCTTCCCTTTCTGATCCCTGACCACTTGCATACTCTCCAATCATTAGAGGTGAACATCTGCCTTAATTGGACTCTCCTCGACTGTATGCTATGTAAACATAGGTACTAAGTAGCAAATCCCGTGACCCCTGGCCTCACTATCTCCTTCTTCTATGTAAATTTGTGCATCATGTTGAGGATGAGGGTATGGCTATAAATGAAAGTTGTAAACTAACCTAGCCTTCTTAACTACACTTGTAATCTCGTTCAAACGGGCAATAGCCTCAAGCATAAGGTCTATGCAATGTTTTGCATATGGTGTCCAAAAGATATAAGGGTAGGCTATGCACAACAAATTAGCAACAACAACATTCGGAGCAACATTTTCTACGAGAACCTGTATAACATGCTGCTCCCCAACCTCCTTGATGCCCTTCTCAAACACTTTAAATATGTAACATGCATCATGGCTATCATCCAAGGCATCAACAGACCTCCAAAAAATAGTTCCTAAAGGAAAATTCACCAACAAATTCATCTGACTTCTTCTCTTCCTGTCACTCCAACTATCAGTCATACTAGACACCCCATACTAAGTCCATGCATCCTTTTGCGACTCCACAATCTCCGTCGTAACAAGTTGGCTTGCCAATTTTCAACCACTAATGCAAACCACAACCATGAATACGGAAAACAAAAAATCATCAACATGTGGTCGTTAGCCAAATAATTGTCAAAAAGCAAAAGAACCACGATCCCTTCAAACTAGCATGGCGTTCCCAATTTCAATGGGTCGCTACTCCCTTCCAAAGTAATCAAGAGCTCCTTTAGTCAGTGATATAGATCCTAGTAATATAGGAATTGAGGTCACCTGACTAGGGAGGACGGAGTTCTGCTCGAGCTCCGATTCTGGGTTCCTTAAGCAAGTTTCCGAGGGATCCTAGAACCCTTAACCAAGTTCCCTGCATCTACGGTGATGATATGATCATTCATCAATTAACTACACAAAATCACCTCTATCCCAACACCTTTCTCCCATTAGTATGTCCAACATCTCAATGGTTCTAGGTTGAGGTCAGATAAAAAAAGAACCAAACCCTGATCAAACAGTGCAATCAGCTTATTTTAATTGTACGAAACACCATATTGTTCAAAGTAGTATGACTATTCAAGGGTATAACTGCAGCCAAGAAATTCTTAAGCATGATAGAAAAGGATGATTAATCTACTCACCAGATAAATTGTTTCGTATCCGTGCACCAATTACGCGACCAGTGGCCTCATCTTTGTGGAAAGATATCACTTCAGCATAATTGAGCATTGCCGCACCAGCTAATGCAGCAGTGCAAGCCAACCCAACATTTAGTCGAGAATCATTCATTTGTCCATCGTAGTAAACAACTGTCCCTTTCAAGCTTCTACCACGACCTTCTCTTGCCAGAGTTGGAAAGAGCTCTATAGACTCCTGTGCAGAATAATATCGAGACAAATGCAGCATTCGAGGGCCAGCAACCAAATCATATAGTTTCAATCCCATCCAGTAGTACACGGCTTCAAACCAATCAAAACATGGAGTCATCAATGGCAAAGCTTGGCACAAGTGTGGAGCATTTTCGATAACCTGCTTACGCTCCTCAAGTGCATGGAAAACCAACTTCAGCTGCTTGTAATCTAAGCTAAAGACAGCCTTTTCCAAGTAGCGCACTCCTGTTAGCAAAGTAAACAATGATGAGCCCAAAATTCATGTAATTAATGACTAGTTTAAATATGCCAATTAAAGAAAAGAGAGTTTTGAACAGCGAATTTTGGAAAACTGCTTAGAATTCTAAAACTTATCTTTTTAATATTAGCTTCAAAAAGATTAGACAATATTCATCATCATCATCATCATCAGAGCTTTTTCCCAACTATTTGGGGTCGACCGAAGATTAGACAATTTTAATTTACAAAAAAGGGGTCACCGGAGGGGGTGGGGGGAGAAGAGAGAGAGAGAGAGATGACTGTTTAATGCCAAGACTCCTCAATCCATAAGAGTTATTCAATATGTTTCCTCACAAATTACTAAAAAGCTGACACTTACAAGATGAATCTGACAAAATTCATCAAGAGAACATAGAAATTGACCTTAAGTTTTGAATAGAAGGGCTACATAAAAGCTTTTGATAAGACCAAGATAGAACAAATCACGTTCTATACTCCTAAAATATTGTCAAGATACCAATGATAAATGTGGATCAATAAAACACATTGTAAGAATAATAATAATCAATAAACTAAAAACTAAAGGGAGCATTTAATACCTCCTATTTTAGAATGAGATGTGGCTCACAGCCTGCTCCCTCCCTCCCTCTCTCTCTCTCTCTCTCTCTCTCTCTCTCTCACACACACACACACACACACATATACACATACACACACACACACATGGGGCCATGTGCACATCTTGTTTGTGCATTATGAAGAAAAAACCAGCGGGTTTCACAGCCTGCCTTCAACTTCAGGATTTGAAATGGTTTGATCTCTAATTCAGTGTATTCCAGATAAAAAGACAGGAAAGAAAGATAGGGTTTCTCCCTTAAAGTCTTTACATTCAGCTCATGAATTCATAGTTGTGTTATTAATAAATTTACAGATCAATGGGTATAACTCTGGTAGCGATTACGTAAAAGTTTCTAATATAACTAGGAAATTATATTATATTAGGATGTCAAACCCTGATACATCTTTGTGGCCAACATCATATATTGTCCCCTAGGAACCATGTGCTTGTGTTATAAGATGTTTTCCATCTGCATCAAAGACTTTAGTTTCTGATTTTTCCTAGAGAACATGCATGTTGAATTTGTGGGCTGATTTATGAGAGTGATGTATAAGATTTAGTTACTTCTATTTATGCATTTATCTTCTATTTAAGGCCTGAGTTTTGTAAATATTGTGCACATTGTTGTCTAATTAGTAAAGTACATTCTTACTTGATACAAATTTACTTTATCCAAAAAAAAAATTATGAGATGACATTTGCTGAAGACTTTATTCGTGGAACCACAGAGAAGTTATATATGGAAGAAATTGTCAAAAGAAACATTTGCACATAGCATCTGATACAGGCTGGCTTGAAAATGTTCATGAAATAATTTGTCTTTTGGTCCTCAAATTCCAAGGAATGAACATATGCATGCATAAAATAGTTTTTGCATGCACACACTAATTGCCCCACTTGTATGATCCTGCAACGAAGTACGTATCTGCTGAGATAAAAGACAAATTGAACATAGATTCTAAATTTGTCTTGAATATCACATTCACATTTTCCCTTGGAAAATTTGGAAGTACATACCTGTAATGTTTCCCCTAAAACTGTAAACTGGTATCCAAAAGGGAAATGGAAAATAAGGCCACCCACAAAATTCTGTGAGCATCATTGAGGTCCATGATGCGATGTAGTATGGAGTTAGTGAGCTGATTTCAGGGTTTTCTCCCCAGACTTATGTACAACAGACAATCCTTGAAGACCAATGTTTACAAGGTTTCCTTGACTGCATTCAATATGAGATGAACTTTTTTTTCTTTTTTAGATATTCATTCCAAAAGAACTCAAGATGCTAGGACCACAGTTTTCACGAGAATAGAGTTGAAAAACATCTTATCAGAATTGCATTAAGATGAATCCTAGGATGTAGCGATGATTTAATGAATGTAGTCAACATTTATATTAGAGGATTTGAGTTCAAAGAGGCATGGGTGCTGCCTTTAATGAAATTACACAAAAGTGGACGAGACCAAAGACAAGCAGCATGTCAATGATATTCTCCAAAAACCTCTATGTTCAACCCATAAATCTAGTAAGTAGCAAGTAAAAGAACAGCACCAAGGTTGTTCTAAACATCAAGGGAATGATAGGCTACATAGTATTGCCATCTTAGAAGACAAGTGTGGGGGCACAAGACATGGATATGACATCGCCAGCAAATGAAATGCCTCAATCGAGGCATGTCATATGCTTCCAATGTCACGTCACCAGGATAAGTAGGCAAAGCAGACATGGAGATGGCTTACAATTACGTGGACTTGAGATATCAATCATTTGCTTGGACACATTGGGTATTGGATAAATGAAGTGATTGGATAGAGTGGGGTCCTCACTTCTCAATCTTCTCAATATAAGTTAATGATATCTATAAAAGTTTCATTAGTAGCATGAGAGTGTGCACCTAATAGGATCCTATATTCTATTCATTTATTGATAAGTCTATTCTATTCATTTATTGATAAGTCTTTATGTAAACGTATTCAACCTTATAGCATCAAACATGCTCCTCTATGCTCTTTGTGGTGAGTGTGAGAGAGAAGGAAAACCGCAACCCCCCCCCCCCCCCCTCTTCACCAGGGGGTGGGTATTTGTGTCGAGGGAGTGAAGAGTTGAATATCTCTTTGCCATCATGGTATTCATACATTGTAAATAATCAATTTGTACATTTTCAAACTACATATTGTCATCGATAGGGGAGATCAATGAAAAGTTCCAAGTCCCTGTAGTTCGATTGATCTCACTTATGTCTGATTTACCTCTAACAAAAATTCCTAGTAATTTATTTTATAACCTCAAAATGTGCCAATTCTAGATTCCAAATTGGTTTCTGCAAACAATTTAGTCAATCCAGTCCAAATGATGACCACACCAAAAGCAAAAAGGAATTATGTGAACTCCAGTGCAATACTATTGGAATTCTGATGCAGCCATGCCCTAGCCAATAGTTCATGGCTGGGCCAAGAAGGGTCGTAGGAACCAAGGAGGAAACAAAGGAGCAATGATGTAATAAGGGGAATTAGTTGGGTTTATCTTTTATTTTAATTGTTATTTCTTTATTTCATTAGGGGCAAGTTTAGTCATTTATTTTAAATCAATAATGGGTGGCTATGATTAAATCGGATGGATGGCCAAGATTTCGTTAAGGCTTTTTAGGGTTATGAGTTATTTAAGTATTTGCTAGTGAAGGGTTTGGGGAGATAAATTGTTCTTTTTTTGGCAGAGAACCTTGATGATTAAACTTAGGGAGGTGGATTCCACTTGGTTTTGTGATTTTTCCTTCTTTCTCTACTCTTATTCTCTTTAAGGCTTGTTCTCTAGAGATCTCCCTACATTTTAAGGTGTTGATTGTAAAGAATCAACCCTAATTTGCATATTTGTGAAGAATCAACCCTAATTTGCATCAAATTCCAATAGATGCAAAGGGGTCCATTGGTTTTCCTCCGAAAAGCAACAAGAAAAGAAACACTTACAAAAAGAGAAAAGAGAACTACAGATTTTTACAATTAAGGGTATTATGTCAAGCAAGCAGAGCTGTCAAACAATCAAAGGGTATGGTTTGTATAGAGCCGAGGTTCTAAACAATCAAAGAAAAGCCCACTTTCAAATGGTATATAGTTTTAATATGGGGAATATGTGTGATAGCCTAAAAATATACTTTTATCTTTAATTATAAAATTTAAAGCTTAGAAAACAGTGTAGATTGGGCAGATCTATGAAAACTTGAAAATCTTGAAAATTGACGGTCCAAAAATGCTATACAAGATGCATTATTTCCAAAACTTGAAATCTATTTTTTTTCATGCCCATTCAAAATAATCAATTTGAGGATATTTAGGCATCAGATCAACCTCTTCTAGTGAAATTTTTGAGGTAGGCGCTAATTTGATTTTTTAGAGCCTGGGCTCTATATAAACTTTTTCCATCTCTAAAACCAGATAACAAGAGAGCGGACAACCTCATAACAAATAAACATCACAAAAAAACTTCCTTAAACAATCAAAACTTTCCAAAGACATCCATTACTATAAATCATAAAACAAGTTGAACAGCATGCATAATTCAAGCAACTTAACAATCAACAAGAAGAAAAACTTCTGGGCCATAGCCCACAACCCAGTTCCATGATGTAAAACCAAAAGAATTCAGGCATACTAACCTCCATGAACCAACTTAGTAGAGCGAGAAGAGGTCCCTGATGCAAAATCCTCTCTCTCCACAAGCCCCACTCTCAAGCCTCGAGTTGCAGCATCTAGGGCAACACCACAACCAGTGGCTCCCCCACCAACCACAAGAACATCAAGAGGGTTAATGGAGCTGCTTCCCTTTAAAGCAGATTCCTGGACTTCTCTTGAAGGAACCAAACCATCTGATTGATGAATTCTTCTCCTTACATTCTCTAAGCTTCCATGGTCACTCTCTGCTAAGGCCCTATCTTGAACAGCGAGGATTCCCCATGCAGATGATCCGACGGCTGCCACTGCAGCAACCGCTTTCAGCCTCACAGAAGCCATTGAGGCCCTCTATCGTTTTCGCAGAGAGAGAAACCACAGAGCTTCAAAAACTCTGTTGCTCCCTCTCAAGCTGTTTTCTGATTTATATGAATATATAAATACGTAATGGTTCTACGTTGTCAACATTGAGAGTCCCAAGGAAAGACGATGGTTGAGAGAGAGAGACTCGTGACTGGTCGTTTAGAGAGAGAGGTGAGACTGAGTGGAACCTTTTAGGAGTGGGCCACAAGCTTCCGGTTGCATGATTTCTAGTGGAGCGGGAAATGGGGAATATTTTCTGTCACAATGAATGGGAGGGCATCTAATGAAACATTTGAAGGCTTTCCACTTGGTTTTTAATAAGGGGAAAAGGTTTGTATGATTGATGTGTACTTCCCCTACCATCTAGCCGTTCAATTTTAATCAAGATCGCCTTTCATTTTAGATTTGATATTTTAAAGTATTTTATTTTTAATATTTTTATACAAATTATATAAATATGAAATTTGATATGTGTCATCTCTTTATTGAGAAGCACCTATAAAAAATATTGAAAATAATTTTTTGATAAAATATAATGACCAAAATATATTTTAAATCTTTTAAATGTATTTTGATCATTATATTTTATTAAAAATATTTTTTATATTTTTCATTAGTGTCAATTTAATAGAAGATTTGAAGTTCAAAATTTGATGTCAAAATAATTTATAAAAAAAATAAAAATAAATAGTATTGAGACTTGACATTGTGATTGGGATAATCTTAACTCTCCATTCAAAATGGATGATTCGACAAGGAGAAATATATAAATTTTATACCGTAAGAAAAGCATAAAAAGCTTATCCAATTTGTTTTTGGATGCGGTATCTATATAGAGATGCAGGTATTAACATTGGGATGCAGCCATAAGCACTGTCCACGTATTTGCACGGTGCAAATCTCACACAGTTATCGATGAAGGAAACAGGGCCCCCCGTTGCCCGTCCTGTCATTTCTATTTTCCTCGCCATCCGCCCTGCCCTTCGCCCCCTGCCCTACACGAAACTCTTGGTTCTTATCTATGAGAAAAAGCGTTTAGATTTTGAAAGAATACAAGTGAATTTCTCAAAGAACACATGAATCTACGACATTGTATCGTATTGACTGCAACCTTTTTTCTAGGTTGGTTTTAGGATCGGCTCAAGGGAGAGAAATCCCAATTGAAAGGAGAGAGAATATAAGTGTATGGAGGGCAATTGCTTTGATCTTCATCTCGAAGTTGCAGAGGAGTTCTTAGAGTCAATAATAACAATTGCAGAATCAATAATAACAATTTAGAAACAATTGATTTAAGGTTTTAATTAGTTTTGTAGTCTCTGTTATGGACATGGGTTTGGAATGATAAGTCTCTGTTATGGACCTGGGGCTTGGGATGACAAGAGAGATAACAAGGTAAAGCCCTTGGAAATTGTAGATTCATGGAGTAAGGGTTTTGGCTTCAATTTCCTGTATAATTACCGCCTAGTATTTTTCAGGTTCAAGTACCTAACTCCTTGGGCTGAAATTGGGATATTTTTCATTTTTACTAAATCTTAGGCCTACCATTAACTGATTTATGGTTTTTCCTTTTGTGGTTTCAATTGATTCTGATATGTGTTATTCAGTTTCTCGATTATGTGTTGTTGAGTTTCTCGATTTTGCCTTCACATTACATGGGGAGAGAGAGATCAGTTCACTATGATATCTGCAATTCAGTTTCATGGGTCAGTTTCATGAGTTTTGGCTTTACCTTGCATGAAGAGAGAGAGACATCATTTGTCCCCTTACTATCTTTATGGTGGATCCAGTTCATCAAATTTGAGCTCACTTTCTTTAAAGGAACAAACTATTTTCTTTCTCTTACTCTGGTTTAAGGAGGAAAAGGATCAAATTCTTTTCTCTCTCTCTTACTCTTATTTTTTTGTTGTGAATTTTTTGATTGTGAGATTCGTATAGAAATTTACGGGTTTCGATAGAGAGAGTTAGATCAAGGGGCTAGGGTTCTTTCTTGGACGTGACAGTTCCAGAGAGCGATAGGGGCGGTTCCTCCTCGCTGCAAAGAGAGTATTGAGATGAGAGCATAGTTAGCAAGTCTCTAGTTAAAAACGGCGACTTTTAAAAAAATACCAAAAAATTTTCAAGAACATATAAAACAGCGACTTTTTTAAAAGATCAGCAAAAATACATGTTTTTTTCACATAAACGTTTAAAACACTTTTTATTGATCTTTACGAAAAAATCGGTCCAAAAAAACTTTGCCTTTTTACCTGTATTTTTTTTCTTCCAAAAGGTGAAAACTTTTTTCCTGCTTTATGTAATTGTTATTTCGATGCTTTCTAAAAAAATATATTATTTCCAAAAAAAAAAATTTCCCCAAAAAATAAATTTGTATCCCCAAGTATATTATTAGGGTTTATTATTTTAGGGGTTTTGCTCAAATCCATGAAATCAAATTATAATAAAATACCATGAAAACCATTGAATCAAAAATCCCCAAATTTTGAGTTGGCGAAATTCCACCAAAAAATCCATCCAAATTAGGGTACAAAAACCCGGATTATCACAATTTGTACATCTTAAATCCGTAAAGAAAAGCTTTAAAAAGAAAAAGAAAAAAAAAGACAAATTAGAGTTCAATCCCCAACCCAAATTCATGATCGGAAATCTTGGATTAGTAAATCCTAAAATAAAAGCTTAAAAAAAAAAAAAACATATTAGAGCTTGAAATTTTGGATTAGGGTTTTCTGTCCACCGTGTTCTTCATCTTCTCTAAGATTTTATGTCTATCTTGTTTCTTTGTGCCTATGCATGCTCTCTCTCTCTCTCTCTCTCTCTCTCTCTCACTTTGCGTTTCTTTAGGGAAGATTTTGTGTTTGCTTCTCTCTCATTTTACGTAATGCTCGTCTTCTTATTCTGTGTCTTTTCTTGGTCTACTACGTTTGTTGCTCATCTAACCAAAAAAAAAGTGTACATCTTCCCATTGTTTAACTATGGTTATAAAGGGATGGTCACCATACGGAGAGAGATATAAATATACCCAACTCAATTTTACTTATCTCACATTGGGTTTTTTGTTTGCGTTATGTACTAAGTAGGTGTGATGTTTGTTAAAGCATTTAATGAGAAAATTCATATCGCATATTTATCAGCAACTTATTATTTTATTGTTTATTTCTAACTTAATTTGATTTTAATTTCTACTTAATTTTATTTTAAACATGTTCGTTTTTTTCACTCCGATTTTTTGAGCATAGTCCGATATATTTGCGATATTTTTACATAAAGTATTTTTGCCGATCTGTATTTGTTACCCGATTTTTCATCCTACTTTTTAAAATAAAAACGATTTATTTTCGATTTTATGACGAGCTGATATATTGATCTTTCCTAACTTACTAACTACGGATGAGAGTATTGAGATAAGGCAAAAGAGGAAAAACGGGATTTATAGGAATAAAAGCATTTCAGAAAAATATAGGGTTTACCGGTGCTATAGGTGCCCATTTTCGTTTACTAAGTCAAATCAATCTCACCCTCCAAATTAATTACCGGTGAGGAGGACTGCCGCCTGAGTTATTTGGATAGGGCGGCAGCCCTATCAAAACGTTTTCTGTTTTTTTTTTTTCAGCTTTCTAAAATGCTTTTTGTATTTTTGTTGATCTGATCAATGCTATTCAACTTTTATTACGAAATATTCAATTAACTTTCTTAACAAATACCTCGAAGTCAAAAAGTCATATTTTTTTTGACAAAAATGTTTATATACTCATACAGCTAGTCATTAAGGTGGCAAGCATACAGTCCGGCACTTTAGGCTATTGGAAAGCATGGATCCAACACTAAATAGGGGCGGTATGGCATTTTAGGCTTTTGAAAAGCATGCGGTTTGTTCCAAAATAGGGGCGATCCGTCACTTTGGGCTTCTGAAAAGCATAGGTCCAACACAAAATAGGGGTTGTGTGACACTTTGGGCTTCTGGAAAGCGTGCGGTCTAGAACAAAATAGGGGAGGTCCGGTATTGGCATTGGATTGTTAGGGGGTCCAACAGTTGTTGCATAGGTTCCGACACTTTGATATGTCTAAATGTACGGTATGGGGAAAAAAATATAACTTTTTGACTTAGGGGTATTTGCTAAGAAAGTTAAATTTGGAGTAAAAATTGCTAAAAATAAACTTTATTGGGGGGTTGTTGTCTAGAGAGTCTCTTTTTGGGGGATATTTGTAATTTTCCATTTTTATTATGGACTTTATACCCTCTAACTTGAAAAATTGATTAATTTTTATTTGTCACTTCTCATTGTGAACATTTTTGCCTTTACATTTTTTCTTTTTAGGACCCTCCTTGAATCTTTTTTTGGTAAATAACCCCACATGAATTCAATTTCATCAAAGTATTAAACTCAAAACATCTTGTGTTCTTGGGAGCATTTATTCAATTAATTACCTCAACGGAAACCGAATCTAGGAGCTCTTCTTTGATCGAAAAATTGACACAACCTTTTTCTCTAGCAGTGCTACAGCCCTATGTACCTGAAAAATAATGCATTATATGAGTGGATAAAGATCATCCAATATTTAAGTCCCATCACCTATCTCAGGTAAAAATGTCAAAATGGGCGCAATGAAACCCGCAAGGGTGTCGTAACTAAAAATGTTAAAGAAAAGGCGGATGTGGTGTACCAATCACAGGTTAAAGCACCACAAAAAAATTTTCTTAAGGTTTTATAAAAGGCCGATAAAGCATTCGAGTCAAGAAAAATGGAGACAGAAGGCACTTCTATAATAAGCGTCTCCAACACCCTTCATTCCCCTGTCAAAGCAAACCATGTGAGCATGAGAAAAGAAGACGACAAAGTCAAACAAAAGAAACATTCATTCCAAGCAAAAGGAGGTTACATGTGTGACCTCATAGTGCAAAATAAAAAAAGAAAAGGGAAGAGAAATGAGGAAGAAAGCCACCCTCACGGCTCAATACTACCTAGAGCCTCACGAATCTTCATCATCGATATCCTGACTTCTTTGAGGTCGCCTCCATGCACCCTCTAACGTCATCCACGGATGCACGAAGCCATCCCACGGATGCCTTCACCTCCTTTATGTCAGCATTGAACTTGATTAGCTTCATGTCTTCAGCCTTACTCTTAAGGCCCCATTGGAACAACTCCTGCTTCAAATCGCAATAACGGTGGGACAACCTATCAATCTCGCCCGTCAATGCTACTAGCTCAGCTACATGAGCCTCGAGATCAGATTTCTGAGCAATGGAAACACCTTGCTCATGAATATAGCC